CCTCTGTGATGCAACAACAGAAATATAGTGTACCCCTAACTGTGATGTGATGCAACAACAGAAATATAGTGTGCCCCTAACTTCCTCTGTGATGTCATAACAGAAATATAGTGTGCCCCTATACAACAGAAATATAGTGTGCCCCATACTTCCTCTGTGATGCAACAACAGAAATATAGTGTGCCCCATACTTCCTCTGTGATGCAACAACAGAAATATAGTGTGCCCCATACTTCCTCGTTGATGTCACAACAGAAATATAGTGTGTTTCGGCTAACCGATTTTGAAAATAATCGTTAGCTGCAGCTCTATTATATTTACAAGGCTAAAGGGAAGCTAATAAAGGAAGTTCGTTTTTAGAATTTACATGCCGTTTAAACAACTTTAGATCCATAACAATCAGGATGTTTTCAGTTAACATAAAACCATATACCTAATGAAAGCCTTTACCTGCTCTCCTTGCAAAGAAAGAGCAGCTAATATGCAAGCACATGTTGTGTCTGCACTGATCTCCTCTCACAATACACTGAATAATATGCACAGTGCAGGAACAGAGCAGGGAAAGCTTCCATTGCACAACTGCAAAAGTTATTTTTTTTTCTTGGTTCAGACCTGTTATGCAAATTATTATTCTTACTCTGAGATGTCTTGAAATTACTGGACCAGAAGAGAATTATTTTGTTTTGCACGTGTAGCCATTATTTAAAGTGAAACATGTTAAAGTAAACCTGGAGTGGCCCAAAAAATTATTCTGCCAACATAACTGCTGTGATGATAATAATAAGGTCTGATGACCCAGGCATTGTGAACAGGATAGGGAAGTCATGCAGAACAATGTGCTACGCTTATTTCTCCAAAATGTGCAAATTGGCAACAAAACAATCATATTGAAATCTTATGTCTGGAGTGGACAGTCACTCAGTGAGACGCATCTCTTATTCCCATGACTAGACCACAGCTCAGCCTAAGATGCATCTAACATAAGCAGAGCATCATAAATCCCAATAAAACAGCTCAAGGTAGAACAGGGGGTCCTAAAACTTCAAGGGGTATAATAAACGGTAATTGGAGTCTGGAAAGACTCTTAAAGTAGCAGTGTCATTCAGCCCCATTAGCAGGATGTGTCTTAAGTTAGAATCTGCTAAACCAGTCTAGAAGCAATACACATTTGTAAGTCCGGCTTCACTGACCTGAACCTGCCTATCTCTAATATATATCTATATACATATAGATATATCTAGATATATATCTATCTCTAGCTCTCAACATAGATATATATCTATCTCTAGCTCTCAACTGTACACATAATCCATAATCCCGGCTATGATGGAATTATATTCGTAACAAGTGGTTACACAAATGTATAGGAAAAAACCATCAGGACCCCAAACATGCCTATATTAAGAGTGGCAGAAAGCTGATGGGACACATTAAAAATGACAGCCGACACCTACCGTAACTTTTGAGGTTTTCTCTAGTTGCCATCAATGGAGCTGGCTTCTAAAAGAGATCCTACTGGCTCCTGGATTGAACAAACCGGCTAATTAATTTCTAATTAATTTGTGCACCCTGCTCTAGAGAATCAACAAAAAGCTGCTGCTATTGGCAGCTGAAGCTCTCAATTAACATTGGAATAATGAAGGGATTATGAGAGTCGGTGACTCTATTAGATCATGAATTACTTTGCACAGGATTCAAGGACCAGGAGAACTTTACAAAAGTACTTTTCTTTCAATCTGGTTTGTTTTACTGTTGCTTATTATTTCTTAAGCTGAATCTTTTGAATGCTTTAATCAGAAATGAAAGAATCCTTGTCTTTTGATGAAAGCCATTTTAAACTGTTACATTCTTGTCTGACTTGTCAGTGAGTGTCAAAGACGGCAGATTCTGTGCTTAGTGCATGTTTTTGGTTAAAACACGTGCTGGTTACACTGTGTTTGTACGGGGTTAACTGATGAGTTAACCAACATCATTGATTTTCACGCTGTCTGCTGGTGCCTAGGTTTTCCTGCAAGTTGGAAAATCTCTGGGCAGGGTGAGATTGATAGCAGAATCGTCACAACGACTATTTGGTTTCATAGGGTACCAGGTGGTACCTTGTTGCCATAATCGTCATAAAGAAACCCTTAGGGCCCTCCTGAAGTATTTTCTGGGGTACAAGACGATATTAGGAATCCACCTCCCCTATTTTTCAATGAAGTCCTCTGCCCCTGGATGTACTTATTGCCAACCACTGTCATAAGAGGGGGGCGGGGGCTAAGGTAGGAAAGTAGATGTTTGCATTGGGTCTTCAGAGATGGTGTCCTGGTGGCACCATAAAAAACTTTGCTTATTAAATCAATTTTATCCTGTGCAGGTGGACTTTATGATCACTCAGATGAGAGACATCAGGTAAATGTGCTCCAGTCTAGCTGACCCAGGTGACTATACCATTGTGTCTGTGGGTACTGAAAGACTCTTAGTAGACACCCCAGCTGACCAATCCATAGGTAAGCAGTATTTGCCTGCTTTGGATATTATAGAACTGCCATGATCACCGCCGAGAAAGCCAGTACCAGGCTTCCCAGATACTCTCCGATCTCCATTGACATGTGCGTCAATGATTGGAGCGTTTTTATAGGAAGACCTTTTAGAAGACCAGTCTTCTAGTGGATCCGACAAACATGTGACATCTTTGGCCAGCTGTTAGCACGTGTTTGGCCACTTTTCATATTTATCTGCTTAGAATTGTCTGCTGCTCTTTTTGTAAAGTATGAAATGAATGTTCTCGGTAAGCACACATTGAAATGTTCTAGCTATGTTTCCTCTGGGAGTGATCAGGCATTTATGATGTTACTAGTCAATTGGAAAAGTATGCGTGTATGACAGAGCCATCTAGCCCCATCACGTTAAATCTGGCTTTAGAAAAACACAACTCCCCTTCAAGAGCTGGAACTGTTTAGTGTGTATTTTCTGTCCCTGTCAAAGGGTCTACGTCGCCTCCTAGATGTATCCAGTCTAGTCTTGAACCTATTGATAGCTCAAGTTTTTTGTATTGTGCAAACTTTGGGTTTTTATGGCTTTGTTTTACAGTAAATTCCAGTGAATATGCTGCTTCTTGCATTTTGGGGAAGGCAGATCAAGCAGAGCAATGTCCCTTTGCCTTCTTTCCAGAGTGATAAGCTGAAACATTTTGTAGCATGATATCTTTCACACATGCCATGGAAGACTTCTTTTTACTCGGGAACTGACTGGCGGCTATGGAAGGGCTCATAATGAGGAAAGTCAATCGACAAATTCAAATCATTCATTCTGCATGTTGAGTGTTGTCATACTTCAGGAAACGCACATCAAATTGCTCTTCATTGGGCATTTATTTATACTTATCAAAGTATTACCATAACCATCCCCTCCTCTCATCCATTGACCTCCTGCTTTCCAGCTTCCTTGTCCACTCCTCCCATACTCGCCTCCAGGACTTCTCTAGAGTCTCTCCCATCCTCTGGAACTCTTTACCCCATCCTGTCCGTCTATCTCCCACCTTGACTGCCTTTAGGCGTTCCCTAAAGACTCATCTCTTCAGGGAAGCCTATCCCACCTCGACCTAACCACTGAACCTTCACATTCTCAAATAATTCATCCCCACGCAGCTCCCTCCTTATGTATCATTTGCCCCTCCTCTTTCAGATTGTAAGCCTTCAGGGGCAGGGCCCTCCTCACCATCTTGTATTGTATTGTAACTGTAATGTCTTCCTTGTATTGTAAAGCGCTGCACAAACTGTTGGCGCTATATAAATCCTGTATAATAATAATAATTTATTATTGGTATTAGGGATGCACCGATGCTAGTATTGGTGCCGATACCGAGGTATTTGGGCGAGTACCCGTACTCGCCCAAATGCTCTGATACCTTCCCGGATTCCGAAACTTCTGGTCAGAGAAAGATTTCCTTTGACCGGCAGTCCCGTAGGGGAACATGGAGCCGGCTTCCCGGGCAATCAGATAGCCGGGTGGGGAGTAATGACACGCCTCCTGATTGGCCAGGAAGCCGGCTCCATGCTGATTGGCTGGAAAGCCAGCATCCTGGCCAATCACAATGAGCATGGAGCCGGCTTCCCGGGATTGCCCGGGAAGCTGGCTCCATGCCAGCGGAACCACCGGTATCGGTACTCTGTATTGGTGAGTACCGAAAGCAAAGTACGGTCAGTACTCTTACTTGATACCGAAAAAACGGTATCTGTGCATCTCCCTAGTATTTTTATATAGCGCTTACAATTTACGCATTCACATCAGTCCCTGCCCTCGAGGAGTTTACAATCTAAGGTCCCTATCTCACATGTATACATACAGGGACAATTCACCTTCCAGCATGTCTTTAGAGTGTGGGAGGAAACCGGAGTACCCGGAGGAAACCCACACAGGCACAGGGAGAACATGCAGTCTCCTTGCAGATGATGTCCAGAATCGGGGACCCCCCAGTGCTGGGAGGCAGAACTGTGTAAATCTGTAAAATGGCTCTCGTACTGTCTGTGTATTGCATCTGTTTGCCTGGAGTTCAACTTTAAGCAGAGAATGCCGGAGAGTGCAGGCCCATCACAGTAAGAATTTTCTGAAAACTCTGCTAGTCCTCGTGCTGATCCTCTAAATGCTGATCCTGAATTATATTTGAACCCTGTGGGAGGGGACATGTTTGTTTTAATTAATGGCAAAGCTCCAGGACACTGTGCGGTGCTTTCTCAGCACAAAACTAGAAGTGGTTTCCTGCCGGTTCAGCTGTAATAATCAGCCACGGCATTCATGTGTTGATCATTTCTGCAGGACAGTCAAGTCACTTCTTCTAAACACATTCTGAATATGTTGTGGACAACTTTCTTCTTTAATGGTACTTTGATATCCAGTATAAAGCTCACATCTCTTTTAACTGGTCCAAAATATTTGTTTTTCACTGCCAATGTGCTGTCCAGTATCTTACAGAGGCGTGACAGGTTTTAACTTTGGGTTGCCATCAGGCTATGTATTGGTTTAGTGTAGCGTCAGAAGTGATTCTGTTTAGCGGTCTTGTGATTTGGACCCTTACACTCAAAAATCTAATTCTACCAATGCATCAGTCTACGTATGATGATTAATAATAACATAGACAAGTCAGGTGTACAATGCTGTGATTTTCCAATACTTACACTTGCAGAGCATTCATTTCCTGCTTTGAGGGCAAAATGACTTCAGTTTGGCAAAGCAATGCACACTGGGATTTCCTTGCCATCTGCAGAGCATTGCTGGGAAATCTCATCTGTAATCTCAGGAGATCTCACTAAAAGGAATTTTCCTCCCCTGAGATGATGTGCATGGTCACGTGTCCTAGTCACATGTGCCAGAAATCCAGGAAGTAAAAGGAGAGCTAGTAATCTGCCCTTAGTAAACATGGCCACTGTTAGAAGATGGGAGAAGAAAAGAGAAATAAGGAATGCAAAGAATACAAAGCTGGCAATTATCTAGAAGTATGTGTTTGTAGATTTTCATTACTAAACATGTTTGTTGTTATTTTAAAGATATGGGTAAAGGTCTGCTTTTAAGTCAGTGTTCCTCATAGAAAATATTGATTTACCTGCGATGCAAAAAGAATATAATATCTGAGTATAAAGAAAATCTTCTTTCTAAGACAATAACATTGCTGACAAATGCACACAGATGCATATGTATGTGTATGCATGTACTGTATATGTGCGTGTTATGAATGCATGGTGTGAACTTAGATGCTTAAAGGATAATTAAAGCCTCAGTTTTTTTTGCATAGATCTATGCAAAAAGTGTAAAAAAAAAAACCAAAAAACCCCCGCTTTAACGGGAGGTTAATACTCGCATGTGTCTTCCTTGCGCGCTCCGTCCAAAAATGTGAAGATCCTCGGGCGGCCCCAAAGCACTTTGGGGCGGGCACATGCGCAGTTCACATTGTTGGCCGGGAGACGAGGAGAGACGCATGCTAAGTATATGGTCGCGGCACCCGCATGCAGACACCGTGGTACAGGAAGTGCCAGCAAGCTCA